GCCCACCATTTGAGGGTCCACAGGAAATAATGACCCATGCAATTTGTAGCGTGCTCGAACGCTGTCCAACTGCAAACAAAGTGCTTTCCAAAGCCATGGACAAAATATGTCTCACTTGCATGCCAAACATGTGGCACTTCCAGGTACTTCTCTGGTGGTTCCATGTCTGTTCCCTGAACACTCTACTGATAACCTCGAAAGGGGGTCCCCCAAAACCAGACCCACAGCACGTATTGCAAAAGACGTCCCTTGCATTCCCTGTCACTTAGCGGAGCTTAGACTAAAGTGCTGTGACTTGTGACCACGTGCAACAACTGCGAAGATCATGTAACAACTGGGATAGAATATCCAGCAAATCTAAAATCACCATAAGGGCCGGGTATATCCAGGCAAGCATCAGTTAGACCACATCAACACCACATCGTACAACTCCGCTATCAAACTCGTGTTTGATATAGATACACACTCATAAACATGTACACACGCACACACGCACGCACACACGCACGCACGCACGCCCGCACGCCCGCCCGCCCGCGCCCGCGCCCGCGCCCGCCCCGCGCCCGCGCCCGCGCCCGCGCCCGCGCGCCCGCGCGCCGCGCCCGCGCCCGCGCCCGCGCACACGCCCGCGCCCGCACCCGCGCCCGCGCCCGCGCACCCGCACCCGCACCCGCACCCGCACCCGCACCCACCCGCACCCGCACCCGCACCCGCACACCGCACCCGCACCCCACCCGCACCCGCAACCCGCACCACACACACCCAAACACCCACACACACACAGACACACAGAGACACACAAGACACACAGAGACACACAGAGACACACAGAGACACACAGAGACACACAGAGACACACAGAGACACACAGAGACACACAGAGACACACAGAGACACACAGAGACACACAAAGAGACACAAAGAGACACACGGACACACGGAGACACACGGAGACACACACAGAGACACACAGAGACACACAGAGACACACAGAGACAAACAGAGACACACAGAGACACACAGAGACACACAGAGACACACAGAGACACACACACACATGCACTTATGTTTACATCAATGTGGCTCTTCCTGGCAAGGCCTGAAGCTTCAGTTTGCCCAGTGTTCCAAATCAGCAGTTCCAGGCGGGCCGTTCGCGTGGAGAATCTGGGGGCCAAGCCGGGCTCGGCAAGTCTCGTTCTCATTCTTGAAAGGCAGGTCCCCGCAGGCGAGGTAATACCTCGAGACATCGCTGCATCGCTGCCCCTGCTTAAAAAAGATGCGTTGCTTGCGCTGTTTTTTCCTGAGGAAGTCTGATGTACTGACAAAGTTAGGGAACAAGACTCAACTCTCATATGTTCCGACAGAAATATGGGAAAATATTCGAAGCCAATAACACGTCAGCAAATCTGGGACAAAAGTTTAGCAGGCCGAGAACCAAAATGCAAACTGAGTTGAAGTGCACCATACAATTTGCCAAACTGCTGCCGGGAGTTGTGCTGAAACGAGACAAGGACAAAATATAGGGATGCTCAGCCTGTGTTTTGCGGTGCTAAGTTTCCTGCAAAAGCCGCGGAGGAAGAATAACAACTCGAACCACTTGAATCTATCACCTTGTAGCAGACCCTGCAAACAGATCAAAACTTCGGAACACTACTAGAAGAGCCTTCGGGCATGCGCCCGAGCATATAATCAACTTGTGCGTCTCACATATTGGCCCCCCTTCACTTAAAGCCATGCGTAGGTGGGTGAAGAAGGCCCGAAAGAAAATAATATGACATCCATTTGAACGGGTTCTGCATGTTGAATAGGGGCTCTGAAATCATCAACATCTTGTTAGGTCCTTGTAGTCGGAACTTGGCGAGGAAATAGTGATGTGAGATCAAGGCCGCATGCAGCCACTCTTGCCAAATATTATATGGCCATGGGTCAAAACCCCGTACCCCAGTGAACATCCCAATCCCCACTAAAATACACTAAAATGGGTGGTGCACCTGCCCCAAAATGGTACCATTGGTTTTGACCCACGGCCATATGATAATTCATGCGCATGCCAATGGGAACGCCTGTTGGGCAGTCCACCACTGATGGCGTTCATGTCCACAGAGACTCGTTGCAGAGGGAAAATCCACATGATGCGCCAAACAATGTCCACGTCCACAGGAACCCGTTTGGGTGAATGCACCGTTGCTCCACAAGCGAGTTGATTTTTCCGTGAACCTACCATGGCCCACAGTGAGTGCCTTGAGTTCGCGCTTATTGACCACCTGGGTTCTAGTTGGCCATGGGTCAAAATCCCGTACCCCCAGTGAACATCACAATCCCCACCAAAATATGCTGGGTGGTGAATTCACCTGCCCCAAAATAGGATCCCAAAACGGTTTTGACCACCACAGCCAGTTGACTGGGACAAAGGACTGCGGTGGACTCATTGAGGGCTTCCGGAAGCCGCGGTGGTTGCTGCACCCGAGGGTTCAGCCCCCATGAAACGAATGGTTGACCCAGTTCGGATGATGACAATCCTCAGATAAACAATGGTGGTTATATGAAGCCCCCATTCTTTTAATGGTTGTTCGAACCCCAGGGTGCATGTTTTGCAACAGCGTTTCAGTCAGTATCTGTTGGACAAAAACTCGATTTTCACGCCCCAAGCCTGGCTTCTTCCTGGAGACCTGCGCAATATACATCCTTCCTGCCGCCCTGCCGCCCACGGGTGACATCATGCCACCCCGCCCCCTAGATCCAATATTGCTGCCAGAAATTTAGCGAGCCACCATGCTCTGGAGCCAGAGCTTGTCTCCGAGCTTGAACCCCCGCCCCCAAAAAAGAACAAAAACCGCCAAGCGGGGGCGAAATAAGTTTACTAAGGCCAAAACGCTCTTAACGGTTTGGGGAGGTTCGTGTTGCGCACCCAGAACAACAGGCTGTGCAACAAATGTTGGTGAGGCGGTCAACATTCTCTTGCATCCATGTTCCGAAGATGGTGGCAACAACGAAAACAGCCAATCTTACGTAAGTTTGCTACTCTGGACACGTTCCCTTGGCAACAAGAAACACACATATGGGTGTGTCTCAAAGTCGGGCGCCCCCCCTCCCCCCCAACCCCCCAAAACACAGAAAAACCTGGTTTTCCCTTTGGTCCCCTTTTACCAAAAGGGGGAACCCAAAGAACACATCTCTGCCCCCCGTGCTGTCGCGCTGCAACATCACACCGCAACTCCAGATGTCCACCTTGTGGTTAGCACGCCTTAGGTATCGTGTCAACAAACGGATCTGGGTGCTAAACACGGGGTCTGCAAACAAAACTTCCTCTTTGCGCTCCAACTATACGTGTGCCGGTCGCAAAGAGATTACCTACTGACAACGATGGGACACACCAGCGCATATGTTCATCCGCAAGAACATGGGGATCCTTTCAGGATGATGGTAGAACGTAGTTCGTGAACCCCCTCTGACTAAGGACGCCCCTTTCCGGCCCAAAATTCAGACAAATACTAAACACTTAAACGTAAAAATTGCCAAAGCTATTGCCAATACTTTTGCTCACACTATTAACTCATTTCATAGTCAAAGGTTGCCATTCCAGAAATCCCAAGAAACGGCTAGCCGGAAACATCAAACTTATTGTTACCTTTTGTTGAACAACCCTTGACAAGCTCGTAAAGGGTACACCCCCTTCAAGGCTAGCCCCCCCCTTCCGAATAACCGACACAAAACCCCTTGATGAATCAAGTCCCTCTCCTGAAAAATTATGAAGCTGCAATTTGCTTTGACTTTCCGATTCATTGCAGCCCTGTTCGCAAGAAAGGTGTCACCGGAAAGAACCGGAGAGGACTGGCCAGGCCCGGACGAATCCGAGGGAGGAGGAGGTCCAGGGACCCCCAAAATCCGGCTTTCCCAAACCTTCTCAACCTTAAAAAAAGGGGGGGGTGGTTTACTAATCAAGTTCAACCATTATTGGCCATTGCCGCGCTCTGGGAGCATGTGATCCTCAGCCAAGTGTGTTGAACAGCATTGCCACAGTCTGGTGAAACTGAAGTTGGTTGAATTCAAGCTGCCCAAGTCTGCTGAATCAAGAAACCAAACCCGGTAAGTCTCAAGCTCAGTCCGTTACGCCAATGGATTAGTCCCTTACCACCAGCTACCTCCATACGCGAAGTCTGTTGACTTCGGAATTGCCCAGAACGGCGAATTGTCGCCAAAAAGCTTCGCTCACAAAACCCACGGACCTCTGGCGCCGAGGAGCTTTTCATAAACCTCTGGCGCCATGTGGCTCGGCGTGCCTGACCCATCGCCACAAGGATGGCCAAAGCAGACACAACCAACAAACTTGGTTGCTGTTGACCCCGCAAACGTGTATCACGTTGTGTGGGTCTAAACAATCCACTTCCCAAACGCTTAAAGTCCAAAGATACAACCAAATAGCCACAAACGAAAGCTGGACATTTGGAACATTCCCCCTTAAGGCTCCTTAAGGGACGAATTCAAGCTCCAGATCCAATCTGAACATCAGTGGCAAATGTCCATATAGGTGTGGGTCAAAAATAGGTACCCAAAATGGAATTCCTCTCTCCAAAGCTGATGCCAGAAATTTGGAAGATATGAGATAGCCATGATCTCAACAGACCTCCAGTCCCCTTTCCAGTTTGTTGAACACAAGGTGCAGCACAACAATTTTAGGGCCGGTCAGCCAATGAATGCCGCACAAAATACAAATAATTGAGCATACTATGTTCTAAAGCTACCTCTATATATATATATATACTGTGCTATGCATGTATACCTCATATTCATACATATATATATATATATGTAGTAGCCCCGGAAGAGGGGGGCCTCTCCTTTGAGAGGAGGTTTACACGGACTAAGCCGGTTGGGTCAGAACCCTGGCAAAGGGGGACCTTTCCTCTGAGAAAGGACTTTGGCGGCTTAAACGGTTTTGGGGCCGTGACCTTTCCTCAAAAAAATGCTAAAAAACTGTGAAAAAACACTTAAATCGGTGCGCCTTCGGGGGCTCTCACCTCTGAGAAAGGGATTAAATCGTTTGAACTGTTCAAACGGTTTAAAAAGGATTTAAACGGTTTGGGGCCCTGACCCTCTTTGCATCTTCTGACCAAACCTCAGCGGTTTGGAAATAAGAAAGAGATCCAAACCGACTGACATCGCCCGGAAAAGTTTGGAGCCTGAAGCTTCCAGATTGTCTCTGGACATGTTCCCTTTGTTGCTGCTTTCCCAAAGCACCAATCTGCAGAGAACACCCAAATGTCTGTAAAATTTCCAAAAAGGAATCTAAATGGGATCTCCTTTGCAAAGACTTGCTTTATTTGGAATGTTCACTTCATATTCAAGATGGTCTCCCTTTCTTCTGTTGAATTTGCTAAGGAGTTAATCCTAGTAAGATTTCCAGTTTAAAGACAATCTAATAGGTTGTCCTGCTTAAGCAAATATTCGTAATTAAACGTCTTATTTGAAATTAGGTTTGTTAATAAGATGTCCGTTCCTTTTCTGGATCAGAATTTAAATGGACTTTATTAAGAAAATAATTCTAGTAGAGGTTCTAGGTTTAACGATAATTCAGATAGGCGTGCTTTAAAAGAAGGCTTTAAATTGGAATTCCTATTTCAAATCAGATTCTAAAGGGGGTCGCTTCTTCTAGGATTGTGGCTTAACATTTTGTAATGCAATTTTCGTAGAATTTAAAACGGAACAAAAACTTAATCCATTTTCAAAAAATTCTAAATAGGTTGCCCTTTTCTAAGAATATGTGTAATTGAAAGTCGTACTTGAAATTCGGTCCTAAAACGTACTATTTTTATTTGGTGATCAGAAGTTCAATAGGATTTACTAAGGACAGAGTTCTAGTAGATTTTCTAGTTTCAACGAGAATTTTAAAAAGGCCTTGTTAGAATTAACAATTTAATTGGAGCTCCTACGTCAAATCAGAATTTAAATGGGGTATCGTTTTCTAGGATTGAGTTTTCAAGTTTATAATTTAAATCGACAAATAAATTAACAGTTAATCATCCTAATACAATGTGTAGTTTCAAAAATGATGTAAATAGGATTTCCTTTTGGAATAATATGGTTAACTGTGATTCTTGTTTCCAATGAGATTTTGAAAAGGACTTCCTTTGCCAGGTGTTTTTTCCAGTTTCTAATTAGAGTTTAAACATCTTGTTTGTGCCTTCCGCGCGTTTGTTTGTCACAGCATGGCTGCCAGTGGGTTCGTCTCGACATGGTGAACCACAAAAATGGGACTTTGGCTTTCCTGTAAACAGCGCCGTCTTCCGACAAAAGCGTTTTGGCCCCCGCTCCGTCACTTCCCAGCAAAACCAATGGCTATCTTGCATAATATCAACACGGGCCAGCTCACTGATATTGATCATGTCCTTTGCATTATCCTTCATAAGCATCCCAGGGAATAGGAATGCAACCATGCCAGATTCCTCCAGGATTCCAAGCAACCCCTGCATCGTGGATCATGCGGTTGTGCAAAAGTCTCTGTTCGTACGGGATTGCATTCACTTTCCCAAATGCGATGGCTTTGAATTATTATCAGAAGTAAAGCAAGTGCCACAAACTCTTGAGCAGTTGCCAGCACAATCATAAGGCTTGCATTCCATTCTTGTTTTCAGACGCAGCCAAATCCGGAACGCATGACCCGGAGAACACGTGATCTGAGAAACAAGACCAGACCATAAGCAAGACTCCTGGTGGACACCTGAGCGCAATCATTCTGCCCCTTTTGCACCTGAGGCTGATGCAGTTCCGCAGCATATTTTTGCACCACGTGCGGTCTTAGACTCATATCAATCATATCAAGAGAGGCGATCCAGTGCTCTCTGCTTGAGGCTCACTCCTGCAACTATTCTCCGTCAAAGGGACCGAGAGGCTTCCTTTGGATTAAGACTAACAGCAGGGAGTCAAAGCAACAAGGAAACCAAACTTGCCGGGTCGTCAAAATCCAACGATGAAGGGCTCACTCAGGCCAAGTCTGAGCTGCTTGTTTTTGCATTCTCAAGGCCAGAAACTGCCCCCTACATTGACCCGGGCTCCGCGCACCGGGTCGAAAGGCTTCGCTGATGACACTAAAAGGGGGGACATGCTCCCGGCGCGGTTTTTCTTGTGGGTAAGCAAAGAAAATGACTGGACCCAATAATTGGGAGCGACTGTGCCATCTACCTTCGCTGTTTTGCCGGAACCTCGCTTGCCCATACGCTTCACAGGCGATGGCCAATGAACCAACGCCAAAAGGTCAAACAAATGGCCAAAAGCGCAAGCAAGCCTATCTGGAAATGCAAGAGTGGGCGTCTGGGCTGGCGGGGGGGCGGGGGAGTCGTCCATAGCCTTAACCCTTCAATCATTCAGAGCTTATCTAGAACTGGACATAGACCCACAGGTAGCCCCAAGTCCCCAGGAATCCGTGACGAAATGCACTCTAGAGACGCGCCCGGCAAGCAAACCCTGCCCATGTGCATTCTGAGCCCATCCGAGCCCGGCCTGCCGACGAGGAAAGATATTCGCCGTCCTGCGAGCGTCGTTTGAGAACTAAAAAGCAAATCGGCTCTGGGTTCAACAGGTACAAGCTCCAAATTATCCTTGGATAAATGGGTACAACATGGTACAAGAAAGCCAGATTCACACTAATCCCAAGCACTTCCACCTGATTTTCATATTACAGCAGTAGTACTAAGTCAACATATCTTCAAAGCGAGGCTGGATAGCATATCTGGGCAAAGTGGGCAAGCCCAGCAAACATGCTACTTGGAACTTGTCAGCTCAATGACGTACCTGACAAGCATCAATATAGATGTTCACAGCACCTGCGCACTTATTTGCATTGCTCCTACTTGAGTTTGCGGCCTCGTTTTTCCTGATTTGACCACATTGTTGCTCCTCGGTGGACAATGTCTGCATGTGTAACCTGTAAACATATGGCTGGTTGTCAAAATGTTGGCTCCCAGTTTTGTAGCGCAAATCGCAATTCCATGGGGGCCCGTATCATTCGGGCGATATGAACACGCAACCATTGCGGCGCAATAGGTTTGACTAAGAAACGTACAAATAACGGACAGGCGCACTAGCGCGGGCCTGTTCTTAACTGCAGTCGGATGAGCTATCCGAGCTTGTAGACCTGCTGCTATAGGATATTTTAACACACACACACACACGATATCCCAATGTTCTACACCACATCTTCAGCAAGTAACAAAACGGAATTGGTTCGTACTACGGGTTCTAGTTTTACTTAAGCTGAAATACAACTACAGCCTACAAATATGCAAGTGGCTTCTTGGGTATTGCCTCCAACAAGGCACGTGCCCTGGTGTTCAAGTTGGCAACTGCCTGCTAGCGCGGTGCTAGCGCGCAGCTAGCGCTAAAAACTGCCTATGTTCTCGGTGACAGGCGCAATGCTTTCCGAAGAGCAGGCGCGGCAGGCGCAGCACTTTTGCAAAAGACACGTGCAGATTTCGTGGCAGACGCAGCACTTTCGCTTTGCGAGCAAGGAATGCCTCGAGCCCTGAGAGCGACCGGACAGAAGGGCCATGCATGGCATCTCTAGCGCTGCCAGTAGGATTTGCATGATTTAGGTGGGGGCCCGCTTCATTTCGAAAAGGAACAAACAAGATGCAACAGGAATTATGCACATACTGCATGTATTTAGCTCCTTAGCTGGCCTTTTTGATCGGAAGCCATATATATATATAGCATTATATAACATTTCTTTATATGTAGAATTGTATATACGTAAAACATGTGAACATCTCACAATAAGCTTGATCACAATTGGTCGCTCCCGGGGCTTTCTGATGGTGCCAGCCTCATGACCAGGCACATGTCATGAAGCTACAGCTGTGGAACCGGCACGAGCTTCATATGAATGCAAAACAACCGCAGCTGTGATGGGGATACTCCACTTTCAGGGGCCCTACAAAAACAAAGTCCTCACAGCAACCGACGTGTTATGAAGTCAAGGCAACTTTAGGCCCGAGGGCGGCTTTTCGCGGACGGCGGGGCACCTGAACGCTTCCTCCTTTCCCTGGGACCGGGTTTGTCAAACCCAGCTCAGTTCGAACCCGACCCGGCTTGGGGGAGAGCAGCGTACTGCGAACCATCCCTCCATTCATCTGGGCAGCTCGCTCACGATCAGCTGCCAAGCAAGGATACTACATTTATACCCAGCTGTCCATCCGGAACATATTGGCTCTCCAAAGCGCATGGCATGCTTGTCGGGGAAATGTTGCAGCGCGTCTACACCCAGCTCAAACCAGCTTGTTCCTGTAGTCTAAGCAGCCAATATTTGTTGTTTCACAAGCGATGGGACGTGTTGCGCTTCTCCCTGGTATTGGGACAACGAGATCCCCCCATTTTCCTTGTCTTGCAACTGGTATTGTTGACCCTTAAATCTCGAACATCAGATCTTCCCGAAAGGGAGATGAAGAGGCACTCCTCAAAACTGACTGAGAGGCTCAACATCAACTGGTGCTTCACATTTGGTCATTCCGAGGTATGCGGGTTTCAAATTGAGCAGTAGATCCTTCGACAATGATTTTGATTTCCAACTGGCTAGGGGAGACCAGCACTGCTTTATTGGACTCACAATAAGGACAGCCAACCCGAAGAACAGCCTCGGACACTTGGAGTCAGTGTCCTATACCGCGCTATAAAGGGTCCTGGACCCCCAAACGAGCACAAATTTCTGCTCGAGGGAAAAAGTGCCCTTTTCTCCCAAAAGCGCTCGTTTAGGCAAAATGCGCTCGAGGCCAAATAAGTGCTCGAGTGAGCGCCCTTGCTTGCGCATCATTGCATGTTGGAGGCGCCAAACCTCACACACCCCCATCAAGCGTGCCTCAATATGTCACATGTGTGCACAGTGGAGAGCGCATCTTCATTTTCGAGCACCTGGATATCTTTGCGCGCTATTGGTCGCGGGACAACGGACCCGCTGACACTTTTTAGAATTGCGCTCGGTTGCGGGAAATTGCGCTCGAGTTGCGGGAAATTGCGCTCGAGGTTGCGGGTTGCAAACTGCCCTCAAAATGCCAAAACGCGTCAAGCATGTGCAGGTTTGTTAGGCTTCCACTAAACACGCATTTGTTGCCCGAACAGCACAGCTCGTGCAATTTCCTGCCCCACCCCCTGCTGCGCGGAGGGTGTGGGCCGCCGCAGCACAACTCACACGCTCCAAAGCATCTAAATCCCATGGAAGTTGATTTCTGCTCGAATTTTGTCTTTTTCTTAAAAAGTGCTCGAATAAGGAAAAAGTGCTCGTATGAGCAGAAACTGCTCGAAAGAAGGGTTTGCCACATATTTGTGCTCGTTTTGGGGGTCCAGGGTGTATTGGAGAAAGAACCCCAAAGTAAACCGACTAGGCCATCCAAGGCGGTCTTTGGGTATCTGGCCTGGTGCAGCAGGCGGGTGTTGAAGGGAACTCAACCGATCGGAAAGAAACCAAACAAAAAGCCAGCGCCATCGGCTCCTCCACGATGCGCGAGAGCCCGAAATCGGAGACCTTGAGGCTCGTCCTGCCGCTAGACTTTTTTGTGGGGTGTTTGCCACTAACAGTTCCGAAGAAAGGGCCTGCCCATAGCTCACTCCTTCCCCTGTGCAGCCGTGGCCGTTAGCCTGCGAAGTTGGGAAAAACATATTTTGGCTGCCCACCTGCAAAATCACATGCAGAATCCACAGAGCTGGTGTAACCCTGCCAGGTCTGGCTTCCAACACTGTCTAAAACGGCCGAATATGCACAAAGGCCACGTGGGCCTTTGTCTTTTTCTAGGGGAAACCCCAAAATGGCTGTTTTCCTCTTGGTTTCCATTTGTCCAAGTCCACCAGGTCAAACTAGGGGCGGTCTGCGGTCCTACCGAGCGGCTCTGACGCACCCACCTTGGTCAAGATGTTGTCCTTGGCGAATGCCAAAAGTGAGGCTGGCGCTGGGTCTTCGTTTTGGTGAGGGCATCCTTGGCAAAAATCCCAAGGCCACTTTTCTGTCGTCTATTTGTTAAGTATGCTGGGCGCTTTTCTGGTGGGCAATTTTCTGGTGCGCAATTTTCTAGGATATCCTTCAAGCTATGTGACCGATTCCCGCACAGGGGTCCATATGCAACTTACACTCCCTGAGTGGCACGTGCTCGGCTTTGCTCTCGAAAAAGACCATTCTGCCTTTGAGAAAAAACAAAAAAAAAAACAATTGCTCGTCCAAAAAGGTGGACCCCTTTCTGGCAAAGGAAAACGCTCAACGAAGATCATACTCGACTTGGGCTTGTCACGATATAGGTTTCAGTCCGACAGCCTCGTCTTCATGGTACTCTAAACTCTCTAAACATTCATATGATCATTGCCGCAGTTGCTCAACATTGTGTGTGCAACAGTGGGCAATCCAAGGATCGCGCTCCGTCGCTTTGGTTCTCTTGTGTTGACCGCTCATTGAACAAATGAAGGTAATTCGTGCTCTGGCGTGCCTGTGTCCTCCGCACAGAGACACAACTTCTCCCGAGTACTTTGGGAAACTCCAGACCCGAAATCCAAAGCAATCAAGGCGCCTTGCACTTGGATGGCTACACGAATCCATAGGTTTGCTTCCTCTTTCACGGAGATCGCATGTGAATCGAAGGGCCCAGAGTGCCAACCAAGAGAAGGAAGCCCCAATTGCGCAGCACCCAAACATGCCTCTTTTGGGATCTGTCAAGCCAGTGGACAAAAAAGATTCGCCAATGCAGCTGAGCCACAGATTTCAGGTCTCTGTGGATGATATTCTTCCTCAGATGCACTGCATGTGCGGGAAAATAGCTCAGAGGCTTGCAGTCAGCTGGGACCCTCTTGCCATTTCCTTTTGCATTTCAACCCACCCCGCAAAAAATAAGTGTCATTTTGTCAAACACTCTCTGGTGACTTCTGGCCTTTTCTCTCTTCCAGTCTGACTTTCCGAGAAGGTTTCTCATGGTGGCGGACACCTTTGAGCCCTTGTGGCCGTTCCAAGCCATTTTTCGATAACACATGTCACCCAACTGGGTCCCGTTTAGGGCCCAGCATGTTCCCACGCTTCATGGGGGTCAAAAGCCGAACTCTAGTACAAAGCTCATTCGTAGCCAAGTCGTCGCAATTTCCAGCTCGCGCACGGACGGGTGACCCGACTTTTCTGCAACCGACGGCGGTGTCAGCGCTTTTGGGGACCACAAAGCCAACTTTGATGCTCCTCTGCGTGAGTTTGCAGCACCCATTTTGGGTGGAGTCTGAGGGTTCTGACACTTCATCGTCACTTGGCACATACCGAACTTAATGATCCATTCTTAAATCTCTGAACCAAGATTAACACACCAAACACAAGCACACCCCGCATGGCAAAGATTTAAACCCAAACAATCCAAGCTGCGGCTTTCCAATGATTGACACAGGTTGGCTTTGACTTCAAACTGATTCCCCGGGCATCCTAGAAGCTAAGATGTTTCGAACGCCGCAGCTCAGAAGCTGAATTTAGCAGCTTTCCAAGTGAGGGGACGGTC